AGTCAGCTGCAGGTTCCCTGCAAGCATGAGACATCATGTGAGACAAGGGCTGCTGGGATGGGCAGTGCATCCGAGTGCAGAGTGCTGAGGAGCACATGCAGGTTCACCTTGCCAGAGCTGCTGGTAGCCCTAGAGCAGCCAAGGAGTCACAGAGCAGTTTTGTGTTTTGACCCATGCTTTCCTGAACAGTGTAACTGCAGCTGAGGAGATCTAGGTGCCTAAATGGTGCTGATTTGAGAATCCAGATCCGAGTCCCTCTGTCCATTAGTTGCTTATCTGTAAAGCGGGGGTTAGAGCATTCTCTCCTTTGCAGGGCACTGGGAGGTAAAGACATTTAGAACTGAATTACCTGTTGTTTTGCTGAAGATGTGTAGGAAACAAAAAGGAAGGAAACTGTGGAAAGCCTGGTTGTAACTAGTGCGTTTACAGTTGGAATTTTGTATGACGCTTGGAGGCCTTGAGATGTGGATTTTTTTTATTTCTTTCTGATGTTTCTCTTGTGGTTTTCTCATTTTTAAACCAGGTATTGTTCAACAAGTTTTTTTCCTTGATTTGGGGGGATATTTTTTTTCTTCTTTTTCATAAGGGGAGAAGATGGTTGCCTTTGTCTTACGTAGCTTTATTTTAAATAATATTTTATTTTAAGAGGTTATTTTACAATGTTTAGAGTGCACTTCAATTTTTTATTGTGTCATGCCCTTCTAGCCCCTTGGCGGGATGAGAGGTGAGTGTATGTATTATATAATTTATAATTAATTTATGATGAATCACATATGATGAATGCTGCTTATTAAATATTAAATCCTTGTCTACAGTCATGGCTGTACCATGGCAGCAGGACTACTGTCTGTTCATACGGTACTACTGAGCAAACTCATTGACTTAAGCTGTGATGGCAGCGCTCAGTTATAAGAGAAGTCTTAGCTCCCTGCCTAGGCAAACGGTGTTAAGGGGAATTATTTCTCTTTCCAGAGTAGGTGCCCTGTTACTGCCTTCTCCCTGCCCCTTGTGCATGAGCAATTGGAGGTGTAATGAGTACAATCTCTCCAAAGCATAGTTGAGAACAGAGGAGGTGCTTTGGTAGCTCCCCAGCTCCATAGGGACTGCTATGAGTCCTGGTTCCTTGCCACCATGCCCCTTGCTGATAGAAGGCTGGGCAGTGCTGGAGGATAGCCTAACAGGAGGTAACAGCCTGGATCAGGACAGGTGGAAAATCTAGGCTAGATTTTGACAGGCCATTTTTATTAGTGAGGACTGGAATTTGGACAGGGGAATAATTTACCTGCAGAGGTCATTCCAGCATCTGGAATTAATGAACTCCCAAATAAAGGCACTAAAACAGAGGGGAAAAACAATGCAGGGGATTGTGCACTGCCAGTTTTGGGCAATGGTCTTAATGAAGGTATTTTTCCAAATTAGTAGCAAAGAGTCTGTGAATCAGAAATAGAAGCTGTGACACAGAGCTCTCACGACTCCTCAGATCCTCTGAAATCAGTGGAATCCACCCGGTCAACATTATAAGGCAGAAAAAGAAAAGTAGCCTTCTACCAGTGTTTTGTGCTCGGCTTTGCCTTCTTGGGAGCTTTGACCTATGCGTCTGTCGTAGCTTAACCCCAGCCAGCAACTAAGCACCACACAGCTGCTCACTCACTTCCCCCCACCCAGTGGGATGGGGGAGAGAATCGGAAGGAAGAAGATAAAACTCATGGGTTGAGATAAGAACAGTTTGATAGAACAGAAAGGAAGAAAATAATAATGATAATAATAATAATAATACTAAAATGACAATAATAATAGAAGAATTTGAATATACGAAACAAGTGATGCACAATGCAATTGCTCACCACTCATCAACCGATGCCAGTTTGCTCCTGAGCAGCAATCCCCCCCAGGCCAACTCCCCCCAGTTTATATACCGGGCATGACATCACATGGTATGGAATACCCCTTTGGCCAGTTTGGGTCAGCTGTCCTGGCTGCGTCTCCTCCCGACTTCTTGTGCCCCTCCAGCCTTCTTGCTGGCTGGGCATGAGAAGCTGAAAAATCCTTGACTTAGTCTAAACACTACTTGGCAACAACTGAAAACATCAGTGTGTTATCAACATTCTTCTCATACTGAACCCAAAACATAGCACTATACCAGCTTCTAGAAAGAAAATTAACTCTATCCCAGACGAAACCAGGACAGCGTCTTGCTGAAGATAGCATACAGCAAGGAACAAATGCTGTTGCTGTGTGTGATGCAACAGAACTTAACCCTGAAATCCTCGCTTCGCTCTATTTACTGCCAGCCTGGCAGGCAGATTTTCCTGCATGTTTTGAAAAAAATCTTGACTCTTGATTGGCTGTTATAGCAGGTAGATTAGAATAAGCCTGAGAGGAAATGTGAGATTTTCGGCACGCATGATTTCATATAAGGTGGCCATGTAAGACCACATTCATGCATGTGAAAGTGTGTGATGGTTGCTGAGATGCCTGCATGGTATGGAAAGTGAGCTAGAAGCAGCAGGCAGAGCATTGGAGGACTTAAATAAAAAGATGTATCATCTGTGATGAGTGACCAGTATGAAAGGAATGTAATCAAAAGTGATTCCAATTAGTGCAATGCAAAAGGAAAGGAGTGTAATTAATTTTGGCTTTATTTTATGGCCCTGTGTAACCCACTTGTACTACATATAGCTTGTGAGATGAAATATTGCAAAATCCTTAGGGTACAGATAACAGAAAACAATGGTTCTTAGGATAGCTGCACCATGGAAAAAAAATACTAAAGCACAGGCATATTTCTTCAGAACTTCTTGTTTCCTGAGAGCTCAAGCTATAGTAATTGCAGTAAAATCTAATTCTAGTGAATATTTTACTCCAGTTTTGTTCTTCTCCCAAAGCTTTCATAGGACAATTTAATGACATGACAGATTATCAGGAGCTTGTTTTAATATTAATTAAATCACACACAAAGACAACATTCTCAGCCCTTAAAATTACATAAACAAAATTGGCTTATAAGATTTGATCTTAATGGGGAGTGATATATTCATTGGTATTGAGCCTTTGATCTAATATCACTTTATACATACAGCTGTGATGAGAAGATTAAAAAAAAACCCATAACAATATGTGGAAATTACCAAAGGTAAAAATGTGTTTAGTAACATAGCACTTTATTTTCTATAGGAGGAACCCATACTGGAGAAAACCTGTCTTTGGTCTTAGGGATGGCAGCAGCACTAGGACTGTAATGCATTTGAAAGAAACAGTTTTCACTGAATCTTGCATATCTAGTTACATTTCTTTCTTTTCAAGTAACTCAGATGAGTAAATTGCACATAAAAAATTTAGTGACTGGGTCTCTTTTTGCATGTTATTAGACAATTGTTGCAGTCCTCACCGATTATAGTAGGTCAGCTTATTATTAAATGACAGTGGTCATTAAAATGCCAAACATATTTTTATAGAATTCGCTTTATAAAATGTCAGCAAGTCTGTATGTTTTTATTAGTTCCAAATCAGATATTTCAATATACCATTCATAAGTATTCCCAAAGCAGTGTCCATTTCTGACTTTTTGAGACCACACAAAAATATTACAGATTAATCAGATTTTCAGATTTCTGCATAACTCTGCACATTTATTGTTTAATCTTATTCTAAAATCCTCTTATGATTGACACCCTGCTGTAGAGATAGAAGTCAATTGAATAATATGTAGCAGTCAATTTTATTTGTACCTTAATGTGCTGAAGGTTTTTTTTGGGGGGGTGCGGTGGGGTGTTTTGGTTTTTTTCCACATTTCCATTATTTATAAGTCTGTCCCCTTGGAGAATATATAGAAGAATTTGTTTTAAATGAGCTGATAATACCCTCTTTAAAATTTATAAGTATGACAGAAATCGTATCCTTTTTCCTTACCATGCCAGGGTGTGCCAATAAACTGGTTCTGAATTATCTTGCACTTGCTATTCATAGGACAAACATTGGAAAAGAGCATCTTGTTAAGGTTTACTTAAGATGAAATTTCAACTGCTCATCAGAAAAAACTAACAGAACAGGAGCTATCATACCAACCAGGAAACCTGATGCTGTTACCAGGGTTTTCCTTTTAAGAGACCACAGTACTCTTGCAGCTACTTTTGATACTTGCTATCATTCTTCAGCTTCAAAGATAAATGTGGGCCTGATCGTGCCATCAGGGCTGAAAAACTGTGAATCAATGCAAGTCCTTTACCCGAAGGAAATGGAGGATTGGGACGTAGTTTTGAAAACATCTTGGTACTTTCTTACAACTGATAGGATGTTTTTCTTTCTCTTTTTCCTTTCCAAATCTGTATTGCGGACTTCAGCGAAATCCTGTAGGGCTGGACTGTGTTCGGTACTTAGCAAGTCATTAGTGCCCAGCATATAGTTCGATTGTTGGATATTGATCATCTCAATAAATGCTGGAAATTCTTGGTTTCACAGAATTTTGCTTACCCCCCACATGCAATTTAGAAAACAAGCTGTCATTTGGAAGCATACCTGTTTTCAGTTTTCATCGTGCCTTTCTATTGCGCATAGTACAGCCTTTGCTGCTTCAGTAACTGACAAAAGAAAATACTTTATTAAGATACAAAGTAGATGTGACTTGATTGGTTTTTAGATAATTTTTGCTTTCAGAAATTAGAATGGCTGATGCTCACCTAAGCGTAAAAAATGCAGTTCCCACACACGCAGAGTGCTCATGTACTGTATGTAAATTGATGTATAATGCAACCCACATTAGCTGGGTTGATGATAGCTTCAGTTTCACTGCTGTCAGATTTTAGTAGCTCCTTGAATGAGTTTGCTGGTCTGAATGAATGTTAGCATAATTTATGCAGCTGATAAGTGATTTGAGTGCTTGAGTTATTGATAAAGCACTTTAACATATCATTTTCAGCTTGATGTTATGTGACATCAGAGTAGAAGGTAATGTGGCAGTCCCCAGGCTTGATATTAAAGTCAATCTGCTCTGTGGATTTCAGAGGCCAGAGGAAACACAGTGCTGCCTGACACGAGTCCAGCAGACCAGCACCAACCCGGTCAGTCCCATCCCACGTTCCCTGTTGGGCCTCAGGTCAGTATCTTTTCTTTTGAATAATCGAGACGTGCAATTTGATGAAAAGTAAATAACTGTGATTGATCATCTTTGATCTGTGTAATGTAGAAAATGTGATTCTGGCTGCATTTAGTGTTACAAAAAAGGAGCATGTGTGTATCATGTATGTTTTAAAAGTTATTTGTTTGGAAAGATTAGCTTTTTGTATGTTTTTCTAAAATAAAACCTAAGTAGTTTTGTATATTTAGGAGTTTAAATTATTTGAATTTCTTATATAAGTTACTTTTTAAATATGTGTCATAATTTAACATTAAAAAGCTCGTGCAATTTTAATGCAACCTTATTGGCTCTGACAGTTCTGCCTGTCACACACAGCTCCTGCATTAGTAAAGGTATTTCATTATCTTTTATGCCAGGTATCTGTTTTCTTTAGAGCAAAATGTAGGCATAATAGTATGGCATTCAAATGTATAACATTTTGAAAGATTTCCCATATGATGTCAGAATGTTATCCAAGTTTAACCATACTCTAAGAAGATATTCAATGTTCCTCCACTTCTCAGGACAGTCTTGGTCCACATAGCTTCTCGTAATTGTTACTATAGTGTCTTCTGCTTTTACCAATCAGTATACAACTGGGAAAATTTGGGAAATGTTGGCATTTAGGTACTTGTAGGCTGACTTGAGTTAGGCTGCCTTGTGTTCATAAATTATATTTGTTGCATGTGTAATGAATTTTCCAGTCTAGATTCAACTGGGATTGCTACCATGCTACATGACTTGAAGGCTTACAGCTTCAGCCTGTCAAGTTTGTCAAAACTTTCTGTGTTGGTGAAAATGTATGCTTTAAGATATTGGAAGCAGTGTCTGTCTATAAAGGAACAACGAAAGGATCCCAAGCCAGAAGAGTTTTAAGCGTGTAATACTGAGTTATGCACAGTAAAATAGGCTTGCTCTCTGTGTTTTGTTACAGCCATTACTGACAGCCCAACAGTTAGCCTCAGCAGTAGCAGGGGTGATGCCAGGAGGCACTCCAGCCCTGAATCAGCCGATCCTTATTCCTTTCAACATGGCTGGGCAGCTGGGGGGCCAACAAGGACTCGTCCTAACTCTACCTACAGCAAATCTCACCAACATCCAAGGGCTGGTAGCAGCAGCTGCAGCAGGAGGCATCATGACTTTGCCATTGCAAAATCTACAAGGTAAGTCATGTTTATCATTTTTCTAATAGGTTCTTTTGCTTGTTTGTTTCACTTTATCTCTCTCCTTTAAACCGAGTGATCTCTTTTTCCAATGAAGTGTTGCTTTTGATGTGTCTTGAAAGTTAATACTTGGATTGTTTTTGAATACTTGAGGGATACTTAAGGGATATTCATATTTTTATAAAAACAGATTGGAGGTTGGGTCTTAGACTCTGTGGGTCAGTAACATAAAGTACTTGAATGATTCATTAGGCCTTTCTGTCATCAGTGATCAATGTTGCCTACTCACAGTTCACTTCAAAATTTCAAATGGCAGCATGAAGACAAGTATTCTGTTTCACCACTGCTGATTAGGGTAGCTGAATGAATAGGGGCAGCTAAAAACATAGTATTGCATGAAAATAACTTTTTAAAAAAACATTTAATTATAAAATCAGAGTTTTCTCAGATGCCATCAGTGCCCCAGAGCGCATTCTTGTTCTTGTTGTAGGAAGTCTGCTTTATCAATAAGGTTCTGCCATCTTCATCCAAGCTGTTGAGTGAGTTACATGACTCCAAAGTTGCAAGCAAAAAGTTCATCTCTCTGTCCTCCCCATTATCTGAGCTGTACCATGTTTGCAACAGTTCAACCCTAAGATATCTGCTGCATTCTCCCTGTGGTCTAAAATCAGACTGAAAAGCAGTTCTGTAAGATCGCTGTTCTTCCCTAGTATTCTCTGCAGTTCAATGTGTCTAATGCTGTTAGAAACAGTACTCAATCCAAACACATATAATATAAAATACAGATGTATTTATTTACTAATCTTAATTATGTTAATTGCTTCTCAGAGGACAGTTGCTCCTGAACAGAACTGAACCAAGTGTAGCAAGATAAGTATTAGCCAATATCTTACAATAGAATTGTACAGCTTTAGTGGAAAAGGATTGTAAGGAAGTGATTGTCCAGTGTGAAAATGATAAAGTTGTGACCAGGAATATCAAAATAAAGCTTTAGCTCTTTCAAATTACTTTATTTATTTTTATTTATTGCTGATGTAAATGGTAGGGAAAGTTTTCCTCAAATGGAATGGTAATTTTTTAAATGAATACTCTGCACTGCATGCTAAGTACTTTTTAGTTATTAAACTCTGGTGGCTGCTCATTACCAGATGAATTGTTTGAAGCACCAAATCCTACAGGTTGTGAAACAGAGAAAAGAAAGAGACAGCTCGTGTGTTGAACAAACTCCTTTACAAACCGCACGCATAGTACTCTCACCTGTTGGAGCAGCTACTTGCCTTTACCTTGTGCATGTTTTAAAGTTTAATGTCAACAGACCTCTCTTATCATAGTTGTAAATGGTTTTCACTTTAATGTTTAAAATAATGTCTGTCTCATACCATTAAGCTGCACCGAAGAACCTGTCATTCATAAATCATAGATGAAAAGGACACACTAATGCACAAATTTTGCTTGTTTAAAATTTGAGAGTGCATGTAAAGTAGGGAACTGGAGATTAAAAAAATAATGCGGGAACAGGAGCGGGTAAAAGCAGATATAACAAAGTGAAGGGGAAGTGGCTTTTTAGCGTAGGTGGATGATGAAATCTTAATGAAGAAACAGGCATTATAAAAATGTATCCTTCCACTCTGGACTGCTCCAGGTTATAGTTGCTGGGTATGTAGTATTATAAATAAACATAAGCTCGTGCAGTTCTTACGTCATTTATTCACCCTGTGTTGCAAAGCTGGAGGGTAAGGATTAAGCCAGGTAACCTTTGCTCTTTAGTTTAGCCACGGGTGTCTAATTGCTAGCTAAAAGGTGTAACTCTGCTGCCAAATAAATTTTGCAAGCAATGACCTTACCGGATGGAAAGGTTTCCTCTATAATTTTTACTGGTAGATAGAAGCATGGGATCAAATAGGGACTTGCTGGAGCATCAGGTGCAGTTCCTTGTCTATGGATGCAATCACACCTTCCATAAAGTAGCTGAAAGGAACAGAACCCATGAATTCACTTAGTTGCATTGCTGTTTGTCGTCTTCTTCTACCCTTCCTTCCCAATCCTCTACGCAAGTGCCACTGCCCTCATTATTTGGAAGTGAAACTGATACACAAGGAAATGAAGTAACTTGGTCAAGATAGCTCTTAAGAGCCCTGAATCACAGTTGTAAGCTTTTGTTTCTTCCTTTATAGCCCACTACACAATGTGTGCGTGAATGTAGGTAGGAGTCAGGTGAGAGTGCTGTGTTTCTAGAGAACATATTTAGCTGTGTGATATCATCAGTTCCATTGAACCTGATTGACTTCTGGTCCCTGTTTTTTGTGGTTATTTGAAAGGTAATCACAGAATGTGTGTTCTGTTTTCTAGCCAGCAGTTTTATAGGTATACTCATAGAAGTCTATGCTTCAACACAGTTTTGGTAATTTCTGCCCTTTGGGTGAAATCAGATCATATTCATCAACTTCCATCTCTCTTAAGTCTCACTGTGGCATGGTCAACCTAGATGACTGGGGGACATGTTTTCATGCTGTTCTCTAACCTGTCTCACTACTCCTGATGTTGTCACGTCTGCTCTCTCTGCATTTCCAGTGCAGTCAAGCATAGATGTCCACAGCTTCTGTGAGCTGGGTCTTCTGTCTTCTTTTTCTTCTCTCATCGGTGAACTTCTAAACCTCTTCATCACAAACTACCCCAGCTAGGTAACTCAGAAGGCACTCTGAAGACTTTTTGAATAATGTATGAATTCAGAAAAGTTCTGATCTAACAGAGTACTTGGATTCATACTAAATGTTGATCAAGGGAGTAATCCCACTACATTTTGTGTGATCTACATATATGTTTAACTGATTTTCTTCTCGGGGACTTTTGGGTCTGGTTCAGGGTGATAAGTATGAGACTTCAGGGTGGCTGGATAAAACAATGAAAAGCCTTGCTTGTGGAAAGAGAAAAGAGCATTCAGTGATAGGAATCACAGAGGAGAGAAGTTCAGTATTTAAAATGAGAAAACAAGAGTTTCTTTAAAAATTCAAGACATTGGTAAAAATGGAACGATTAATGATATGGAAATTACTCACAAAGTATAACTTATTCAGTGAAATTACTTATTCTTCAGTTGTCAGTTACTTATAAATAAGATATTTTTTCCCCCAAACGTATTCGTGTTAAATTGTTCAGTTTCTATATGGGCTGATCCACCACTAAGTCAATAGGAATTCTGTTGGTGTAAGTGGAAAGAGGTTTAGACTAAGCCCTTTCAAAATTAATTTTCTTGATACATACTTGATTATTTTCTGTTCATTACACTGTGTCATTTGCCATACACACTGCTATACCATATCTGTTCCCTGAGCAAAGTCAAATGTGTGTGAACAGAAGGAAGGGAGGTGAATGTGTAAATTCTTGCTGTGAAACTTACAAAAATATGTTTTCCCTGGCTTCTATTAAGAAAATTTCATATGCACGAGGAATATGCAAAGAATACAATTTACTGAGATGCCAGAGGGCAGAATAGAGCCATCTGCTTTAGAGTAAACAGAAGTCCCTGAACATAACACATATTTACCTATGGAACTTTGGCTTTCCACCAACAGTTCCTTAAAGAAAACAATAAAATCAACAACCATAACTTTTTACTGTAACCCACTAAAAACATTGAAAACTAATTTAAAGACCATGCAAGAAAGCTGTTGTCCCAAGAAATTTATACACCTTTTTTCCCCTCACCATTTCTTAGACTTACAGCTGGAACATAGCCGTGCTTTCCCAACCCACAAAAATTTTGGAGGTGTCACAATAGCAACGGTGAGGTTGTGAGAAGGGAAAGAGTGAGGCAGGTACCCTATAACATAATTTGTTGCCTGTCTGTTGCTTTTAGTCCATTGCTTCTTGCCCTGTCCTTACTGACTTGATGCAGAAAACACTCTGCCAGCTTTACTCTTATCATCCAAACTGGTGTTCATCAATATTCAACTTTCCGTCTTCGGGAAACAGCTCACTGCTGGCCAGTTGTGGACCATGAATAACAGTTTGGGATTCTCTCTGCAAAGGGTTGGCCCAAATATATTACATTACGTAGCAATGGCACAACAGCGTTTTAGATATCTCCACTGATACGGAGCTTGAATGACACTTGAAACTTGAAAGAAATCAACAAGTTGGAGATTCTAGCCTCATGGCACTGAAACTTTGTGTATTTTATTTCCACTACACATTGTACTGTTCCTAAAGTGGATGTCAGTAATTTATTTCCAAGTCAGAGTTTCTCAATCTTGAGTTCTGAAAGAAATGAGAACAAACTATCTCCCCAAATCATTAGTGAAAGGCTTCAGTGCTGAAAGGAAGCCTTGCATGGCTGAAAATGTGAAATCATTAAATTACATTATTTAAACAGCAGCAGGTCATATTTTAGCTGCAATACAATGGAAGGGGAAATGTATTAAACATCTTGAGAGCTAGGAGACAGCCATTAAAATGCAGTGATATGGGTAACAATAGACGTAGAGGATGGTAAAAAAAAATTTTTTTTTTTTTATATGGAGATCAGTCAAAATGAATGTTAGGTAAAGACAATAGTAAGAAAAAGGAAAAAAAGTATTGTTTATATTTATTAGATCTTGTTTCATCTGAACATAGATTTGTATCATTAATTGTGCAACAGACAAAGTAAACATGCTCTGTCTCTGTTCCTCCATGTACACATACCTTAAAAAACAAAAATCAGAGAGAGATGAAAAACAAAGAAAAGACAGAAAAGAAGTAAACTACAAACCTCAATTGCTTACTGATCTAGAGTCCAAATTCCAGGTTTTTAGAACATTTTCCCCTTTTAACTAGTGATGCAGTCCCTATTCATTTGTATTCCCCTTCAAGTAACATGAAATAGCTTTCAGAGTCTACAGAAAGGCAGTGTTTCACTTATGTATTTTAATGAGCACCAATGTCAGTAATAATCAAAATGATGTTTCACTTAGAGGAATAGTTTATTCCCAGGTACTTCAGCAGTATACTAACATAACCAG